AATGTGGATTCAACTTCTTATTCCAAGAATTGAGGATGGAAACAACTTTGGYGTGTCTATCCAAGTATGTTACCATATCTTGACCTTGCTACTTTATATCATCACTGTTACTGAAAACATACTGGTCTTTTGTAGGAGGAAGCTCTCAGCGAAGTCCAAAGAATAGAAGGAGAGGCTGCATCATACTTAGATCAAATTGCAAGGTGATTTAATAGTCCACTTTGTGGATAACACAGCTATTAGACATTGAGCAAATATCGAAAAACTATTACCACCACTGGAAAGAACAGTATAAAATTAGTATGTTTACCAGGTTTGAGCATGATTCGATGGAAATTCAAGGAGATACAGCGTTTAAAAGTCGGCAAAATTTACAAAGAAATGTRTGGGCTGTCGGCATGAGATCAATGTTGACCTTGACTTGTTACAACCTCGCCAAACATTTCTATGCAAAATTTAGTGTTTTTGAAGTGCCGTATCTCTTTGAATTTAAATCAGATTATTTTCAAACTTGGCAAATTTGCTGATTTTATGAAGCTCTTTCCAGTGATGTCAATGATTTACCATAACAACGTAATGTAAAATTTCGAATTATCCGTGAAGTGGASTATTATGATTAGTACAATGTACAAATAAAATTTCAAGTGAAAATTTCATGTATGTTATAAAAGCAATGACAAAATTTTGTTTATCGAAGAAATCATTAACTTTTCTCAAACTTTCTACATTCTATTCACTCTGTGTGAGGAAGAATGTCTTGTTCCCAGTCCTTTTAGGCAATATTCACAGGGAGCCCAGTGCCAAACGTTTTTCTTCTGGCTGTGGCTTTATATCAAATAACACTTCTATCTGCTTCAGATATTTTGTAACAAGAGGGAAAATYGTGTCCAAAGTTGTTAAGTACCCACATCTTGTAAGTATATCATTATTGTATTAATTGCATTTTCAGATGTTTCTGCTTGTACAGGCAATTGAGCGATTGGCTGGTTACAATATAGGCACTTCGCATATTGATCCGCTATTATTTACTGAAAATTTCCTTGATTTCATGGTGTTATTTAGTACAGAGGTTTTTTATGTACATGGATTTGTACAGTACATACAATATTCTGGGGGATTTTCATATACAGCTGGGGAATTTGATGATGTTAGCTACTATATTTTATATGATTACATATGATTACAAGTGCAAAAGTATACTCTTAAGTTCCGAATAATCGTACATATATACGCTTATTTATTCGTACAAAATATTCCACCCTATACAGCCTTATTCGGGACTGTACGTTTATTAATTTTCAGGGTTTTTTTTCTCTGTAATTAGTTACTGACAAAATCTGAAAAAAAAGTTCTGAAAAAGTTGTTGAAAGACGAACATATTGTCTCCAAAATGAAAACAAAAACACGAGCGAACATCAAACTAAGACCGCAAACCATCTGGTCAGCAGATTTCGTAACAGAGACTGAGGACAAGTCAGCAATTTTGCAAAAACATAGCTTGAAATTTTGTTTTTTCCACTCTATACTATTATTCCATCCTATACCATTATTGGTTAATTTGGATTTTTCCACTCTATACTATTATTATGCTCTATATGATTATTCGGAACTTAAGAGTAGTCATGTTGGTTGTTGTTGTATTACAGGAAGATTACAGACATGCTGTACAAGAGCTTGATGAGAAAGAGTTTATCAGCTTAAGGCTTTGTTGCTGTGAGTTACGGAATCACTATGTAAGTCATTTATTCATAGATTTGTTGTTGGTTTTAGATAGCCAAGATATKTTAAACTGTAGCCACCTTAGATGTTTTATTGTGAGTTTGATTGCTGTTTGTTTATTGTGTAAATTTAATAAAGGATTTCTCATTAGTATCTATGGTTCRTKCAACMAACATGGCTGCCTGTTGTGAATGGGAATGAGTGAAAACAAGCAATTGAGAAAGTGGATTCAAAAATGGATAATGTGGAGTGGGATAAGGGGAAAAGAAAGGAAGGAAGAAAGAAAGGAAGGAATAAAAAAGAAAGAAAGAAAAGAAACAAGGAAAGAAAAAAGAAATAAAGAAAACAAAAGAAACAAGAAAGAAAGAAAGAAAGAGAGAAAAATGAATGAAAGAAAGAAAAGCACATTTACATGTGAAACCAACACTCATATAATGACTTCACTGTGGTGACTTGTGGCTAACCATCTAATAATTATCCTTCCTTTTTTAGCTTATCCTTCATGACACGATAACAAAGAACATGGAGAAAATTAAGAAACCAAGATCAAATAATGCTGAAACTCTATATTGATGAACAGGGTGAGATACATCCTGTGGTCTCATTATTGAACCCTCCAAGCTACCATGAACACACATATAACTGTACATATTTTACTTAGCTCAGGATACCTTGATAATAATATAATAATATTATTTTATGTATATGTGCTTATTAAAGCCTCGCTTTTAGTCTTTCTCATATTAGAATTGTTTAATTGATCTGGAATCCAGTATGGTCGGTCAACAAAGCAGGTACTATTATTAGGGGAATGGGTTGAAATTTTGAAGGAGAGTCGTATGAAACAAGGCCTTATTGATATTGATGCATAGGTTTTTATCCTCTTTGAGAAGAGACAGCTATACAGGATGATGTAAAACTGCATCTTTCTTTGTGAACTAGGCCTGAAAAAACTCTCCAATAGCACAGTAATACTGCAATGATTTTACAACAAAATTTGCCTTTATAGATAATATATCATATAAACAGAATATTACATAGTTGCTTGGTATACAAGTACCGGTACGCTCACTTGTGAGAGATCTTTTCAATACTCAAAGATAAAATCTGTATCTACATGCGACCATGTAATGTCCTCTATATAATAGCCATTATTATTTTTTCTAATGCATTATCTTTTTCTGGATGATTCTGTAGTTACTAGCCCTAAAAAGGGCTCATAACTATTTGACCATCTACCTCATTTCCCCTTCCAAATTTTACCTTGCCTGCAGTATATGGATGCTTATCGTTCGATCAGTCCATAACATACAATATCTTGAAGATTTTATTATTCAATAGTATGGAGTTTTTGTTCAAAGTTTTCAAATCGTATTCAGTTGGTTTTATTCATAATTACTCATAGTGCTATATACTATCATTTTAATGTATTTATGCTACCAAAATGTTTGGTTTAGCATATTATATTTATAATGTAATGTCTTAATCAATCTTTTTACTTATGTATTTTGAGGTCAGACATAAAGAAACCTCACTTGTTCTACAAAAACATTGAAAATTCTTACTTCAGTGCATGCTTTGTAGCCTATTCATTAGTATTTTATGGAAACAATACAGGCAGCCTAACCCCATGGGCAATGGGCATTGTATTGGAWTTTYTTTCGCCGGTGACCAATACAAGTCATATTGTATAGAAATAAGGCTCAAGGCACTAGTAAACCTCYACTKGTTATTCGTCTGTGGTTATTCATCAGTGGTATTCACCACACTTAGATCTGATGATAGCTTTTAGTGTAAAAATCAAATAGGAAATGTGCAGTGCAAAGCATGGTAGAGATACATTTAGCCTTTGGGCTTTTTTTTCTTGTCTTCGCAAACGTGGAAGTAACGTTGTACTTTCAATGCAGTGAATCCTTACAGGGTTGCCATTTTCTGTGATAGAAAGACAACGTTTTAAAGCTATTTTGTCAGACGTAAGAAAAACGCAAAGACAAACTTCCCATCATGCATTGTTCTGCAAAATGGCATCACGTCTATTGTCAACAGCAGTAAAACAATGGAATTGCACTCTATATTGCTAACTATCTCACAGTACGCTGGAAACTGTTTACGAAACCTATATATTTTAGTCTAGTAAATGTACTTTATTAGTCAAAAACATGGACTGGTTCCAAAGCAACGACGACAAAAATATGCAKTTAGATTATACTTATATCAATAAACAATGACAAGTGATTGATATGGCGCAATTGTTATATTTATTGGAGGTTAATATATAGACCCAGGCCCGTAGGCTGGGAGGGAAGGCTCCGGTGGGGGCTCGGACGAACCCTCCACAAACTTAAAATTCCGATGTTTTCTGTTTTAAAATTGTTTTTGAGTATTTTGTTATGAACTGCTCATTTTAGCACCCAGTTCTTACAAACTATACCTTTGCATTGAACTAATTTAGTTAAACATTTAATTAAGGTCCGCATTATAAAAATGTGTCCGTGTTATAAAAAAAACAGCCTACGGGCCTGAGACCCTTATGTAAATATTCATGAGGCTGTTTTCTAAATTTACTGTGCGGGGACGTTCCGCCGCCATTACATAGTTGGATACTTTCTATTTTTTATATAAGAGTGTCAATATTTATTTAGCACACTGCAAAGTCAAACTGAAAATGGCATTGACATCTTTTACGGGAACGATATCTAGATTATGTCTTGGATAGCGTCTACATTTTACCAATTTGTCTTAATGTAAGATGGAATTTCACGATTTTGCTGCCTTGAATAAGGTCAGGGTTTAGAGTTACCAGCGGAACTTTCTGTTCAAATCTGGATCAAGTCGTCCCCCCTCCCTCCCAACCGCCGTTTCATGAAATTAAAAATATTTTTTTCTGTAACATTTGTAATTTTAATTCGATTTTGACGATCGTGTAACTTGTAGGAATGCTGCTTGGTTGTCAAAACATGGCCAAATCAAGTCACATATGGCCCAGCCTCTGAAAATCCATAGCGAAATGGTATGACCTGTACATCTTTCTAAAAGATTAAGAATTTTTTAAAAATCATGTCTCTATGCGTTTTCATTGGAATTTTAGCTAATTTTTCACAGCTTTTACGTGAAGCATATCCTTCGGTCACTGTCGGTCTTTATAATGGGGTCATTTTGTCTTAGGTTGACAATTTTGTATTTGAGGACTTTATTGATACATATTAGTTTTAAACTAAGCAGGGTCACGTACCCTGCTAGTATCAATCGTCCTATTGATTTTCACCAAACCGTTGATTGTATCAGAACTAAACTGAGGCACTTTTTCGTAAAGCTTGCGGTAAGGCTTCCTTTTTGACGGTAAGTCAAAACTGAAACAATGTGACGTCTCCGAACGAAGGCGGGTTTTTTTTCAATTTATGCGTGGAATATTATTGTAAAACTTGACTCAAAAAAAAACCCTGAAAAGTCGAATGCGTTTTCAAATGTGAAAAAAAAAGTGATTGTACCGCGCTTCGCTCGTACTTGAGAATTGGTATTAAAGCTGAGTAAAACGTTTTTAAACTTGAATTAAATATTAAAATCTAAAGATGCAGAAGACTATGAAACAGGTGTATAGACTGTTTTTCATCGTTGGCTATAGGAGGTAGGGTCTAATTTTAACAGTGACGTTCAAAGCGCAACATAACCCACGCCAGGGCATGGGGTTGAAGACACAGTTTAGTATTTAATCGTGTGTTTGATTAATTGGCCTTCTGTGCAGGCGAAATTCTTGATTGGTAATCTTCGATAACGATCCTTAAATAATTCTGTCCTTAATTCATAACATGTTTTAACTGCCGTTTGGATGAAATTATACTGGTTTAATAGTCAAGCACTATACCTTGGAAAGTTAAGTCGGTATTTATTCATTTCATAATTTTAATTATAAATTGAAAAAAAATAAATAAATAAAAATTAAGTGAAGAGTTTCACGCAGTAAAGACAGTTCCACCACTTAACAGAAAGCGAATACCGATAAAATTTTAAATACGATATAGTATAGATAAGCTTTGATCTACTTGCCTTTCATTGTAATTATCCTAAAAGGATTTTTTACGGTCAGCCATTTATCTCGTATAGTTATTACCGCATCAACACGCTCCAAGTATCCAATTTCTCATGCAAAGAAAATGAATGAAAGTGGAAAAATAAAGGATGCAGGGAAATATAGGGAAAGTATGTCCGAACTTTGTTTTAATCCTCAAGTTATCAAACATTAGAATAAAATCTCAACATTATCTTTTTTAATTCTTTACACTTTTCTGTTTCTTTTTTTTTTTTTTTCTTTTCTACTTTTTCTCTAATATTTTTCTTTCCCTAATTATTTAGTATTAAGCTAAAAATACCACCCACCCGACTAAAATGCGTAGCAATTACGTGGGCGAATTAGATCCATTCAACTTTATAGATGAACGGTATTAATTTGCAACGTAAAATTCAGTTTTAACGGAAGTCTCTAGTGTTCATAACAACTGCACTGCATCAGTCAGTTTGCTTTTCTGTAGCGCACGAGTGTTCCTGAATTCCTTTAGCAG